CAAGGAAGCTGTTCTTGCAAAAGGTGCAACTGTGATTACGAAACAGCGACTAATTGCAAAGTACGAAAGTGGAGTGCGTGTGTCAGAGCTGGTTAGGTTGTATAATAAACCCCAATCAACCATCTCTACTATAGTGACCAGGAAAACGGCAATCAAGGAAGCTGTTCTTGCAAAAGGTGTAACTGTGATTACGAAACAGCGACCGCAAGTGTTAGAAAATGCTGAAAGATTGTTATTGGTGTGGATAAATGAAAAACAGATATCAGGAGATAGCATCTCTCAAGCGATCATTTGTGAAAAGGCTAGGCAGTTGCATGATGTTTTGGTAAAGAAATTGCCTGCAAATAGTGGTGATGTGAGTGAATTTAAGGCCAGCAAAGGTTGGTTTGAAAGATTTAAGAATCGTAGTGGCATACATAGTGTGATTAGGCATGGTGAGGCTGCTAGTTCGGACAAAAAAGCAGCTGAAAAATATTTGAAGGAATTCAAGGATTACATAGACAGTGAAGGACTGAAACCTGAACAAGTGTTTAATTGCGACGAAACAGGCCTGTTTTGGAAGAAAATGCCAAGCAGGGGCCTACATTACTCAGGAGGAAAAAGGCACTCCAGGACATAAGCCTATGAAAGACAGGCTTACTCTGTTGATGTGTGCCAGTGCTAGTGGTGATTGCAAAGTGAAGCCTTTATTGGTGTATCACTCTGAAACTCCCAGAGTGTTCAGGAAAAACAATGTCCTCAAGGCTAATTTGTGTGTGCTGTGGAGGGCAAACAGTAAGGCATGGGTCACTAGGGGCTTTTTCTATGACTGGTTACACCATGCATTTGCCCCCACTGTGAAAAATTACCTAACTGAAAAGAAATTAGACCTTAAGTGCCTCCTGGTATTAGACAATGCCCCTGGTCATCCTACAGACTTGTCAGAGCGACTTTCTGGGGACATGAGCTGCATTAAGGTCAAGTTTTTGCCTCCTAATACCACTCCTCTCCTGCAGCCCATGGACCAGCAGGTCATTTCCAACTTCAAGAAACTGTACACATAAGCTATGTTTCAAAAGTGCTTTATAGTGACCACAGAAACTCAACTGACTCTAAAAGTTTTGGAAGGATCACTTTAATATCCTCAATTGTATAAACCTGATAGATTTGAGGCTAACCCTGAGAATCCTATGCCAGTTGAGGAATCCATTGTGGCATTGGGGAAGTCCTTGGGGTTGGAGGTTAGTGGGGAGGATGTGGAAGAGTTGGTGGAGGAGGACAGTGAAGAACTAACCACTGATGAGCTGATAGATCATCTTGAACAGCAAGAGGGCAGACTTGAGGAAACTGCTTCGGAGGAGGGGATAGAGAAATTGAAGAAGTTGCCTACTTCAAAGATTAAGGAAATGTGTGCAATGTGGCTTAAAGTGCAAACCTTTTTTGATGACAATCACCTTAACACAGCTATTGCAAGCCGTGCCGGTGACTATTACACTAACAATGTTGTGAAACACTTTAGGGATGTCATAAAGGAACGGGAGGTACAGGCCACTATGGACAGATATGTTGTGCGACAGAAATCCAGTGACTCTGAAGCTGGTCCTAGTGGCATTATAAGAAGGGAAGTAACCCCGGAAAAGGACTTGCTACCTCAAGTCCTAATGGAAGGGGATTCCCCTTCTAAACACTAACACCTCTCCCCTCCTCGCATCCCATCAATCATCACCAGATCTTCATTAAAGGTAAGTGTCAATTATTTTATTGTTATTATTCTATTGCATTAAACTTAATATTCCATGTAGTAAATTTTTTTTTTTTCATACTTTTGGGTGTCTTGCACGTATTAATTTGATTTCCATTATTTCTTATGAGGAAAATTGATTCGGTTTTCGATATTATCGGTATTCGATGAGCTCTCAGGAACGGATTAATATCGAATACCGGGGGTCCACTGTATTCAGCGGCCTCTCCTGCAACTCTCTCTAGTCTTAATCCCATCCATCACCAGGGATTACGTTTATGCCTCGGTGCTTTTTGCTCTTCACCGGTTGAGAGCCTCTATGCAGAGGCAAATATTCCATCCTTGTCCGATCGCTGTGATCCTCATTGTCTTTGCTATTATGTTCATTTTCCTAACCTCTGCAATCCTTCCATATATAGGATAGTCACTGATGTTAGTAGACGTGCTTTACTTGTTCATCGCCCCTGTTTATTCTGCCCCTCGTCTCTTCGCTTACATTAACTCTTGTCTTCTCTCCAGTTACCACCTTTCTATGTTCATGTAGCATCTCACTTTTCCATACCCCTTTGGGAAGTTCTAATAGTTCATGTCCATTCTTTCCCACTGCCATTCACAAAAGCCCAACTGCCTACAGTGGCTTCTCGTTTTTTTTTTTTAGCCACTTTCCATCTATTTCTCATGCCATCGCAATGTACATTGATGGTTCCAAGTCTTCTGATGGCATCGGATTCGCAGCAGTGTTTCTGGACAGCTTCGTGTGAGGGTATTTATTATTCCTGGCTAGCATTTTTATGGCTGAATTGTATGCCATTCTCGTAGCACTTATCCTTATTGCATCTTTGCCTGTGTCACCATTTGTAGTCATTTCAGACTCCCTTAGTGGTTTACAGGCTATACAAAAATTTGATACACCTCATCCCCTGATTTTCCGTATCCAACTTTGGTTACGCCATATCTCTAACAAGCACAAAGATATTTTATGTTGGGTCCCCGGTCATGTTGATGTACAGGGCAATGAACAGGCAGACACTGCTGTGCGGTCAGCAGTACATGACCTCCCAGTTTCATATAGAGGTTCCTTTCACATACTATTTTGCTGTAATTGCTACCTACCTTCACACCCATTGGCAATAAAGTTGGTCGGATCTGCTCTATAATAAACTGCATTCTATTAAACTGAGTACAGCCTCTCCTCGCTTAATGATGGAGTTCTGTTCCTCAGACCACGTTGTTAAACAAATTTGTTGCTAAGTGAGAAGCATACTATAATGGTAGTGAGTTTGTGTCAGCCATCTTTGATATTGTTTTAATGTCACCTTTGCAAAATTTGTAACATTTCTGGTATATTTTTAAATGTTTATACAACAGTGTACTATATATTGAAATAAACAGAATAGAGGAAACCAGCTCTAATATACATTATTTAGGTATGAATACTGGTCAGAGAGCCCGTCGTAAGTCCGAGGCATCGGTAAACGAGCATGTTGCTAAGTGAGGAGAGGCTATATAGGTTTCTGGCCGTCTTATCATCAGTGTCAAGGTTGGGAGATTACTCTCTCCTGTCTTCGCATCGGCCACTCTTGTCTTACTCACGGGTATCTCATGGAGAGGCGCCCTGTTCCACTCTGTGAAAATTGTCAGGTTCCAGTTTCTGTTAGCCACATTCAGTTGGAATGCCCACTCTATCAACGAGCACGCAGAATTTACCTCCAACATTGTCACCACTCTACTGTAATTACTCTACCTTCCCTTCTTGCTGATGGACCCTCCTTTAACCCACTCTCTCTCATTGACTTTTTGACAGCAACTGATTTACTGCACAAACTCTGATAATGATGCCTCTAGTACTCCTCATGACCCTTTCTACCTCAGTCTCTTGCTATCCTCTACCCCTGCACTATCCACTGCACTGCTGCACTCCATGACCTAATAATCATCCCTCTCCCTTTTGCTACCCATTACCCCTGCATCCTTCCCTGCCCAGCAGCACTGTATGACTCTTGTAGGTTTAGAGCTTCTTTTTGATTATAATATTCCTGTGAAATGGATGCAGTATAATGTATTAACCCTTAACTGTTTCGGTCGTATATATACATCCTACGAGCCACCATGTTTGACGCATATATACTCATAAATTCTAGCAGCTTCAAATCAAGCAGGAGAAAGCTGGTAGGCCTACATGTGAGAGAATGGGTGTGTGGTCATTGTGCACCATATAAAAAAAATCCTGCAGTACGCAGTGCATAATGAGAAAAAAAAACTCCGACCGTTTTTTTGGATTAAAATGCCCAATTTGTGGTGTATTTTTGCATAGTATTTATGGTTGTATTCTCGTTTTCTTGGTCTCGTTTGATAGAATCGAAAATATATTATAGAAATAGAGGTGATTTTGATTGGTTTTACTATGAAAAGAACCTTGAAATGGAGCTCAAATATGGGAAATGTTTGAATTTTGCCGATGTTCAAAAGTAAACAAATGGTATTTTTTTCCAATAAATGTCCAAGTAGCCATTCTAATATGCAGTCATGAATGGGTTGACATTATTTATACAATTATTACAATATTGCAGTAGTCTGCATAACAGTAAATCTTCTATTTTTTGTTTGAATAAAAATTTAAAATAGAAAGCAAGAGTAATATCAGAGGGGCCTGGAGACGTGACTGATGAACAAAGAAAATGTTATTTTGGAGCCAGGAATGTCTGCATTGTTCATTCTAGACCCTATTTTGAAGTAGTCATATTTTTTAATTTTCATGAAATTGGCCAAATTGCAAATTTCTGATCACATTATTGGGTAGTTGAAATCGGTAAATGGGCAGTTTCTTGTACTCAATCGATAGAAAAAATGGCATTCTAAAGAAATAGCTATGAGTTTGGTCGACTGTAATAATGGAATTAGCCAAAAATATTGCGCAAAGTGGGCAAAATCACCAATTCGTAAATATTGCCGAGGTCGTTAACTTCATGAGAGTGTAATTCCATAAGCTTTCCATCAAATTTTGTTCTTTTGGTGTCATTACCATAGGGAAAAAATTCTCTATCATTTCATGAGATTTTTTTTTTCAAAAATTTTTTGACACCAGGAGACACCTCAGGATTTGGGGTTTTGACAGTCAAGGGGTAAAGAACATTAATTGAGGGCTATTTTCTCTGTATAAATTTTTTGACTCTTGGTTATTTGTTCACCAAATTCATGTAAACTTTTGAGGGAAAAAAGATAATTGTGTATACTGTAACTGTATGTTTTTGTATGAGTGAGTGCATAATTACTTTTGCAGATGTCAATCAAGATGAGCTCATCATGGCACAGGAAAAACAAATTGCTGAAGAGGTAAAATATTTTAATGTTTACATAACATGGTTAGTTGGTCACTCAGTCAAGAAGTGAACTTAAATCATGCTGATAAAATTGCTCACAAGAAGTGCCCAGAATATCTTGCAACAAAGTTTGTCAAGATTAGGAACCAAAACCAGTATGGTACTAGGGCAAGTGAACACAGTTTTGTAGTACCTATAGTAAGTTGTCAGGCCTCAAACACCTCTTATTATACAGTAGTAAAGGAGTGGAACAGATTGCTTGAATATGTCAAAACCTGTCCCAGCATGAGCCAGTTCAAGAAGAGAGCTAAAAGGTACCTAATGAGTAAAGCTACAGAGTGATTTCTTGTATGGTTAATATTCGTGTACCCATTATTGTAAACTGATCCTCACTGTTAATGTTCCTGTAAATAACTCTGGCATCAGAGTTGAGTTACTTGGCTGTTTTATTTTTTAAGGTTATAATCATGACTGATTTCTACTGTATCTTACAGCTAGACTTTAAATAATATATTCCAAGGACCCCAGTGGAAATAAGTCACTTCATCTGACTTTTTTCGGGGTTATCCTAGGTAATTTACACATATGTTACTGTGTATGATAACTGTATTCATCTAAATTTAAATAAACTTAATAAAGAGCTGGAATTCAATCCCCAGTTGATAGAGTAAAACTGCACAGTAATTTAGCCAGAATCATCATTTTTGGATTTAGGGGGATGGGAGAAGAAGAAAGTTGTAAGATTTACAAAGTGCTTTGACCATAAAGTCATTAAGGATGACAACTCGAGCATAATGATCATAACAACAAAATGATGGCAGTGATGATAAGTGTATCATATTGAAGAGAATATGAAGTATGTACTGTGTGATATATAGTATGAAGACACGTTAGTGAGAGACAGGGGTGGGGGGCGGAGATAGTACTTCTCATCAAGGAATTAAAAAGATTTGAAAAATTAAAAGCATCATATTGTCTTATATTTACAAACTATTTTAAACTATCTCAAAGTAAGACAAAGACATCATGGTGGTTCAGACAACAAGAGATCAAGACAGGATTTGACAGTGAGGCTATAAAGGTAGCAGATCAGATCTGGTCACTGATATGAGGGTGTAAAGCTAATAATGGGATTCCTTGCACAGATACACAAAAAATCACCTGTGTGTTTATTCTAGTCAAAAAAAAAAAAAAAATGCAGGAAGATAGTTACTGGTTTAACAGCCATTATGAGGATACACGAACCAAGTTTATGAAGGCATTGAAATGCAGTACAAGGAGAGCTAAGAAGGCAGACCAGAATGAGTACACAAGCTATGACTTCTTTTCAAAATTCATTGGTTGACCTTTAAACGAGACTGACCTATTCTCTGCAATATGTGATATAAAAAATCAAGGAGGCAATGTGTACAAAAATTGAGGATGGGAGAAAGAAGCTGAAGAGGGAAGCAACTGAGAGGGTCAGAGAAGGAGGAAAGACCCAGGGGTGGACATAATATCCAACCTGTTTATGGAGGCTTTAATAAACAAGATAATGCCAGCTGCATATCCAGCTACAGTAAATATAACAGCAGCTTTCAAGACTCAAAACTTAACTTGTTCAGGATCATATAAACCTCATGTAGTATGCAAGACCAGGACTGTATTGGAGTAGTGTGTAGTGACAGCAGGGAACCCACAGCTCCTCCAGCACACTAGAAAACTTGAGATTCCAAGATTGGTATCCGGGTTATACATATGTAGATAGATAATGGTCTTTGGGTAAGAGGATAGACTGAAATAAATTTCACAGCACAAGCTGAAGAAGGCTTGGGAGATGGTCACAATACAATACTTGAGTGAATTAACCAAGATGAACCCAAACAGTGTAAATAGAGCTTCTGATATTAAGCAGTTAGAATGAATTGAATAGTAGAAGAGGTAGTGAAGGCAAATATGATACTGTATACTAATTCACAAGTAAATATCGTACAGTGAAACTCATGGGGTTGGGGACACATTAAGCTCATCATATAATTAAGAGGCATGGTCCAGGAACTGGAGCTTAGTCTCCACAAACTCTGGTAAGTGTATGTACAATATATGTGTATGTCACTGATACTGTTCCAATGAGATACATTTGATATACTTATGTAGTGGAATATACAAAAAATGATTAAATGCAGTGTGCCTTTAGCCTTATTTCCTCTATAATAATACAGTTCTGTAGTTGTGTATATAGTATATTGTATTTTGTATAATATCTACAGATCAAAGCCAACACTTCAATGATAGGGTCACTTCAAGGCCTCGGTTCCTTGGCAAAAGAATATTCAAATGACCCAGTATATTCTAGCAAGGTAAGTTTTTTCTTCTTGTTGATTATACTATGCTACATCAGATGTTATGTTTCAAGCATAACACTTTTGTGCATAATGTTTCAAAAGCTTTAATGTAGGTAAGGTTTTTTAAACATAATACATGTAGTTACCCATAAGAATTTAGTGTTCTGTATTTATATCTCCATTCAGTTGCACAGTTTCATGCTTAATTAATGAGCTATCTTGTACAGAAGTTTTTAACAAATACCATGCCTTTTTCTTGCTTTGTAATCTCCATCAGGTACATTACTCTACTATTTATTATGTCTTTTATCTAATTACTAAATATAAAATAATTAAAAAACATGTAATAATGCAAATAGCTGTAGCAGTATCTGATTGTTCCTTGTCTACCAGGAAAACAAATTTAGAGGGCAAGTAAAGATTTTATTTTTTTCCTGGTGGTAACATTTGCAGTAGTAGGTTGTAGGTAGTAGGTTGGTAGACAGCAACCACCCAGGGAAGTACTACCGTCCTGCCAGATGACTGTGAAACAGAAACCTGTAACTGTTTTGCATGATGGTAGGATTGCTGGTTTCTTTTTCTGTCTCATAAACACGCTAGATAACAGGGATATCTTGCTACTCCTACTTACACTTTGGTCACACTTCACAGACACGCACATGCATATATATATACATACATCTAGGTTTTTCTCCTTTTTCTAAATAGCTCTTGTTCCTCTTTATTTCTTCTATTGTCCATGGGGAAGTGGAAAAGAATCTTTCCTCCGTAAGCCATGCGTGTCATATGAGGCGACTAAAATGCCGGGAGCAATGGGCTAGTAACCCCTTCTCCTGTAGACATTTACTAAAAAAGAGAAGAAGAAAAACTTTATAAAACTGGGATGCTTAAATGTGCGTGGATGTAGTGCGGATGACAAGAAACAGATGATTGCTGATGTTATGAATGAAAAGAAGTTGGATGTCCTGGCCCTAAGCGAAACAAAGCTGAAGGGGGTAGGGGAGTTTCGGTGGGGGGAAATAAATGGGATTAAATCTGGAGTATCTGAGAGAGTTAGAGCAAAGGAAGGGGTAGCAGTAATGTTGAATGATCAGTTATGGAAGGAGAAAAGAGAATATGACTGTGTAAATTCAAGAATTATGTGGATTAAAGTAAAGGTTGGATGCGAGAAGTGGGTCATAATAAGCGTGTATGCACCTGGAGAAGAGAGGAATGCAGAGGAGAGATTTTGGGAGATGTTAAGTGAATGTATAGGAGCCTTTGAACCAAGTGAGAGAGTAATTGTGGTAGGGGACCTGAATGCTAAAGTAGGAGAAACTTTTAGAGAGGGTGTGGTAGGTAAGTTTGGGGTGCCAGGTGTAAATGATTGAACTTTGTATAGAAAGGGGTTTAGTTATAGGTAATACATATTTTAAGAAAAAGAGGATAAATAAGTATACAAGATATGATGTAGGGCGAAATGACAGTAGTTTGTTGGATTATGTATTGGTAGATAAAAGACTGTTGAGTAGACTTCAGGATGTACATGTTTATAGAGGGGCCACAGATATATCAGATCACTTTCTAGTTGTAGCTACACTGAGAGTAAAAGGTAGATGGGATACAAGGAGAATAGAAGCATCAGGGAAGAGAGAGGTGAAGGTTTATAAACTAAAAGAGGAGGCAGTTAGGGTAAGATATAAACAGCTATTGGAGGATAGATGGGCTAATGAGAGCATAGGCAATGGGGTCGAAGAGGTATGGGGTAGGTTTAAAAATGTAGTGTTAGAGTGTTCAGCAGAAGTTTGTGGTTACAGGAAAGTGGGTGCGGGAGGGAAGAGGAACGATTGGTGGAATGATGATGTGAAGAGAGTAGTAAGGGAGAAAAAGTTAGCATATGAGAAGTTTTTACAAAGTAGAAGTGATGCAAGGAGGGAAGAGTATATGGAGAAAAAGAGAGAGGTTAAGAGAGTGGTAAAGCAATGTAAAAAGAGAGCAAATGAGAGAGTGGGTGAGATGTTATCAACAAATTTTGTTGAAAATAAAAAAAATTTTTGGAGTGAGTTAAAAATTTAAAAAACCCCTAGAGAACAAATGGATTTGTCAGTTAAAAATGGAGAGGAGAGTTATTAAATGGAGGTTAGAGGTTTGGGAAGTGGAGGGAATATTTGAGGAATTGTTAAAGTTGTGAAGATAGGGAAGCTGTGATTTCGTGTTAGGGAAGGGGGAAAAACATCTTTTGGGGGTGAGGAAGAGTTTTGTGAGTGGGGGGGGAAGTTCGGAGGCAGTAGGTAAAATAAAAGGGGGGGAAAGGAAACCCGGGATTGATGGGATAAGATAGAAATGTTTAAAAGGGGTGGGGATTATTTTGGAGTGGTTGGTGCAATTTTTTAAATAAATTTTGGGAAGAGGGAAAGGTCCTAGGATTGGCAGGAGCTGCAAGTTCCTTTTTTAAAAAGGGAAAGGGGAAAAAAAAAGAGAGTGCAAAAATTATGGGGATAAGTCTTTTGAGTATACCTGGCAAAGTGTATGGTGAGTTTTTTTTGAAAGAATTAAGAGTAAAAAGGAGAATAGGATAGCAGATAAAACAGGAGGCTTTAGAAAGGTGGGGGTTGGGACCGGTGTTTACAGTGAAACATATAAGTGAACGTATTTAGTAAGGCTAAAGGGGGTTTTTGTGGGCTTTATGTTTTGGGAAAAAAGGGTATGACAGGGTGGATAGTGGGGCAATGTTGCGGGTTTTATGGTGTAGGAGGTGGGTTACTGAAAGCAGGAAGATTTTTTCGAGGATGTGGGGCTCAAGTTAGGTATGTAGGAAAGGGGGGAAAATTATTTTCCCGAAAAAGTGGGCCCTTAGAAAAGGGATGTGTGATGTAACCGTGGTTGTTTAATATTTTATAGATGGGGTTGTAAGAGAAGAAAATGCGAGGGTTTTTGGAAGGGCGTGGAGTTAAAAGAAAAAGAAAACACTTTAAGTGGGATTGTCACAGTTGCTCTTTGCTGTGACACTGTGCTCTTGGGAGATTCTAAGAGAAGTTCAGAGATTGGGGGTAAATTTTTGGTTTTAGGGTGTGCAAAAGAAAAAAATTTGAAAGTGAATACGGAAAAGAAAGGTTATGGGATAACAAAAGATTGGGTGATAAAAGATTGGATATCAGATTGGAGGGAGAGAGTATGGAGGAGGTGAAGTATTCAATATTTTGGGAGTGGAGTTGTCAGCGGATGGGTTATGAAAGATGAGGTGAATCATAAAATGATGGGGGGAAAAGGGTGAGTGGTCCCCTTAGGAGTTGTGGGACAAAGAACTTTGTCCTTGGAGGCAAAAAGGGGGGAATGTAGAAAGATAGTTTTACCAACGCTTTATATGGGTGTGAAGCATGGGTGATGAATGTTGCTGAGGAGAAGGCGGAGGCAGTGGAGATGTATGCTGAGAGCAATGGTGGTGTGAAATAATGCGAGAATTTTTATTTGGAAGTTAGGAGGAGGGGCGGGTTACCAAAAAATGTTGTCAGAGGGGTGGGAAGGGTTGTTTAGGTGGTTTGGAATGTGGGGGAGAATGGAGCGAAACAGAAAAACTTCAAGAGTGTTCATTTTGTAGTGGAAAGGGAAAGGGCGGGGTAGGGGTTGGCCTAGGAAAGGTTGGAGGGAGGGGGTAAAGGAGGTTTTGTGTGCGAGGGGCTTGGACTTCCAGCAGGCATGCGTGAGCGTGTTTGATAGGAGTGAATGGAGACAAATGGTTTTTAATACTTGACGTGCTGTTGGAGTGTGAGCAAAGTAACATTTATGAAGGGGTTCAGGGAAACCGGCAGGCCGGACTTGAGTCCTGGAGATGGGAAGTACAGTGCCTGCACTCTGAAGGAGGGGTGTTAATGTTGCAGTTTAAAAACTGTAGTGTAAAGCACCCTTCTGGCAAGACAGTGATGGAGTGAATGATGGTGAAAGTTTTTCTTTTTCGGGCCACCCTGCCTTGGTGGGAATCGGCCAGTGTGATAATAAAAAAAAAAAAAAAACATTTGCAGTGTGTATAATGTTTTTCCACACATTTTTCAATATTTATTTAATTTTTAGTTAATGTTTCTTTCCCGTTTACCCGTTTTTTTGTTGCCTTTGTCTTTTCTGGATTTTTTATGTACATATATGCATACTAGGGCAGTCCTCAGTTACTGTATATGTTATAATCTTTTTCAATGCATAAAAATGGTAACTTTCATTTACATTACAGTGGAACCCCGGATTTTGTGTGCACTGAATATCGTACATTTCGTATTTAGAACACTTTTGGGGACAAAATTTTGCTCTGGATTTTGTACCTCCACCCGGATATCGTACATATCGGACGCGTCCGTTCGTATGTTTGTGACTCGGTCTTCCTTTGTTACTTGTTGAGTAAACTTTACTCTGTGCATTCATCCGAAACATTTCATAATACACTGTAATCCATTGTTTTTTGTGCTTGCAACTGCTAAATAACCCACCATGGGGCCAGAGAAAGTTCACAGTGCCAGCCCTTTGATAAAGAAGGCAAGAAACACAATAGAATTCTTCAGTGATTCTGCGATATGTACGGTACCAAAGCAGCAGTAGTTGATAAAGGCTATAGTGCTAGCCAGCAATAAAGTGTAGCATTAAGAGTGTAGCAAGTAAGTTAAGCGAATGAGTGATAGAAAAAGGACTGCATGAAACTAATTCCTCCAATGTTGTTGGAAGTTTATAGGGCTACTGACAACATATGCCGCCCTGCACTATCTTCCACCACCCTAAACCTCTGCCAGCATCTCCTCCAAGGTAAGTGTATACTATAGTATACATACAATAACCACTTTATTTCTTTACACACTCTGTTATGTTTTTATACAATATTTCTTATTTATAAATTATGTACATTGTTTCAATGTTTTCCTTATGAACTGTGATGTAGTGCAGTTAGCCTCACAAACACTCCATTTTCTCTTGTGTAATGGGAAGATATGTAGTCACAGCAGGAGGGAGAATGGCAGCTGCTGCAGCCACCACTAATCACATGTGTAATGACATATTTTATTCATTCTAGAGTATATACGTATCATGTTTATATATTAATATTGTTTATTATGTCATATTAGATGAATTGTGATAGATTAATAAGCCATAGAGTTGATATTAGCATCATCTAGAAATATAAATAATAGAAGTCCTCAGGTTGTTCTTCAACTCTATATATCCTTGGTTAGGCCTCATTTAGACTATGCTGCTCAGTTCTGGTCACCGTATTACAGAATGGATATAAATGCTCTGGAAAACGTACAGAGGAGGATGACAAAGATGATCCCATGTATCAGAAATCTTCCCTATGAGGATAGACTGAGGGGCCTGAATCTGCACTCTCTCGAAAGGCATAGAATTAAGGGGGATATGATCGAGGTGTATAAATGGAAAACAGGAATAAATAAAGGGGATGTAAATAGCGTGCTGAAAATTTCCAGCCAAGACAGGACTCGCAACAATGGTTTCAAGTTGGAAAAATTCAGATTCAGGAAGGATATAGGAAAGCACTGGTTTGGTAATAGAGTTGTGGATGAGTGGAACAAATTCATGAGTACAGTTATTCAGGCTAAAACCTTGTGTAGTTTTAAAAATAGGTTAGATAAATACATGAGTGGGTGTGGGTGGGTGTGAGTTAGACCTGCCTAGCTTGTGCTGCTGGGTCTGGTGCTGTGCTCCTTCCTTGAGTGGAGGTGACCAGACTGGGTGGGTCATTGGGCTAATCTGGGGGGGTGGGTCATTGGGTTAATGTGGGGGGGGGGGACATGGACCTGCTCTGCATGGGTCAGTTGGCCTGTTGCAGTGTTCCCTCTTTCTTGTGTTCTTATGTTCTTATATTCAAGTATTTTGTCCTGTCTCCAAACAATAAACTCCTCTCTCCCCTCCTGTCTTTCATACGCCAACAAGACTCTTCAATAAAAGTAAAAGTGATTTAAATATTCATTTATCCTTTTCATTAGTGCTTTATATTTATTTCTCATTGTTTTTTGTATGTAAAACTATAGTTATTCTCTATAAAGTGTATTGTTAATACTTTTGGGTGTCTGAAACGGATTAATTGGATTTACATTATTTCTTACGGGAAATATTACTTCGGTTTTTGTACGTTTCAGATTTAGACCAACCTTTTGGAACGGATTAAGTACGAAATTCGGGGTTCCACTGTATTTCTGTACCAGCATAAGGAGTTCTTTGTCAAATATTATAAGGTTTTCATAAACAATCTAACACAATGATTGAAATGTGTATAAGGGAGCTTCTTCTTAAGGTCACCTTCAAGGAAAGAAAGTGGCCAGAGATAACAAATAATGTAGCTGATGCATAAAACAATTGGGCAATGAATTCATGATAAAATTTCTGCAGCTGGAGCTCTGGGGGAGCTGTCTCATTTACACCAATACTCATTTTTGACCTCAGCAGAGTTCCTCTAGAGTCTTAGTCTCAGTATAGATCCCTCTTTCCTAAGTTAGTTCGTGTTATGTCTAAAATTATTTGGGAGCCCTTCAAGTTCCAAACTCCAGTCATCATTCGTTCATGCTAGTGTCAAGAATTCGTCTTAATGTTTTTGCCATAGATGAATTCCTGCAAGTTCGTGGTCTTCCAGCACCAAGACAACTTTGAATATATTGTCAAGATCTGCTAACAGTCCACCTGCCCCTTTGATTCTTGAGGACAGTACCTGCACCATTTGTGGGGTTCATCAGTTGTGTGACTGTCCACCCAATGACTGGCTTTCCAGAGGGGTGGTTCCTTCATGCCTCTTCATGGGTTTTTTTGGAGATATCATCTAGCACTGCACTATCACTCATGGTCTTTCTCTACCTTTTTCCTGGATGATGCATTAGACATTTTTACATTCATTAAGGACCCTTTAGCTCTTCAGGGTTAACTGGTTCCTGCTCTTCCCAGGCCACTGTTCTCCTGGGACCCATGCCTGACCACCCTTCATTTGACCCCAAATTGGAAGTTTGGAAGACAGACTGTTGCCTCTACCATACCAGCCTCCTCAGTGCTTTTCAGGTTTTGCTGTTTGCATCCACTTTCTTGGAATATTCATTTTATGTGGAGGATGAGGACTACCTCTTGGCTCCTTGCACTTCTCCACTTTGGGTCCTTTGTGTTTCATGCCTAGTGCTCCCTTCTTTCAGAATTTGTCTTTCCTTGTGCTAGCCACAGGCTCTCTCCTTTTCAGAGCCAATGAAGCATTTATGCTGCTGGGAATGCCTCAAAGTACTTGGAATGTATCAGAAATGTTTCTAGAACAAATATAGAAGTTTAAAGAAAAATCTGGACTATGACCTCCACAAGTGCTTTGCCAGTCAGGCTGTGATGACTATTCAAGTCAGTGGGCTACCAGTAGCAACATCCTAGTTGAACAGGCAATCAACAAGGTAGCCTGACCTCAGACCAGGCTGTGAGGGGTAGAAAAACCCTTCAAACTGGTTACTGGTATCACTGGTACCTGTGACTTGGTCACATAGACCTTTTCTTGTGTTCATATTTATCATTCCTACTAGCACCATCATCTTCATACGATTTAATTTTAGATAGTCTAAAATCAGTGTGAAAATGGAATCCAGGGTCATGAGTCTAGGCAGCACAGGTATAACAAACTGGGTCAACATAGACCTACCTGGGCATGACTGTTACTAGGCAACAGGCACGGGCTGATGGCTGGACTGAGTTATAAGCCATAGGTGGAATATCAGACCACTTCAAAACTGGAAGGCCCTATCATTTTCCAAGTTTCAAGAAATGTGGCAAAGCACTGACAGTTTGGTAATTAAGACACTGATTGTGTAACGGTAAAATACAAATTGCTTTTATCCTCTGCCATTGGTGTTTCATCATTTTTTAAGTGCCAAACCAATTCTCCTGAGCCTGTGAAGTAAGAAATTTTGAATATGTGGGACTCTGCTGAAAATCTGTATCTTAATTACAGTACAGGAGGCCCTCCACATTCGCGAGGGTTATGGGATCAAGAACCATGCAAATCTTGAAAATTCGCGAATGTTTGGTGCTGTAGCATTCGTGAATGTTTTGATGCACAAATATATTGTAGGGAAATAGAATAATAGCATTTGCTTAGTCTAACAATACTGCTTCCTTAACCTATTGAACCACAAACAATCACAAAACACATGAAAACATCGTAAAATATTGTATATACGTACGTACATGTTATGGTTTAATAACAAATAATGAACAAACAAAGCACTCGCCACTCTTTAGATTAGGCAGACGAACTCTGATGACTTGTGATGATGATGACAAATGCAGTGAGGCTGGTGATGATAGCCATGCAGTTACTGATGACAGTTGAATATGATTGAATATGTTTGGGTGGCTGGGCATTCGTGAATGTTCGAAGCTCGCGAAAGTGGAACTAGCAAAAGTGGAGGGTTAGCTGTATTGCATATATGCTGAGGCTTGACTTGAAGAAAGTGTTTAGTTGAAAGAATAAATTTTCCTGGTAAAGTATTGCCATTGGTTAGCCATGCTCAGTGGGATGTATTACATTATTAGGATTGCTGATGTCTTTTCTTTGTCACATAAACATGCAAGATAACAAGTACATTTTACTACATTTACTTACACTTAGGTCATGCTATACAGGCATGTACATATGTGTGTATACACCCATGTTTGTACATGTCTATTTTCTATGAGTTGTTCTTATTTTTTCCTTTCATCTTCATGGGGAAGTGGAGGAGAATCCTTTCTCTGTATGCCGTGTGTGTTGTAAGAGGTGACTAAAATGCTGCGGGCAAGGGGCTAGTGACCCTTTCTCTTGTATAAATTACTAAGCGTAAAAGAAGAAAAACTTTGTGATAGCTTTCCTTCTTTTTCGGGTTACCCTGCTTCAGTGGGAGACAGCCGGTGCGTTAAAAAAAAAAATGTTAAAATTAAGAATATGAAATATTAAATTAATCCAAATTTACACCCAGTGCTTAGTTTTCATTTCTTTCTTATGTAGACACTGGTGACATACAATAAGTGTGCTGGAAGCACACCATTTAGTGATTCTGAGGTGAGTGGAAAAACGATTCACGATTATACTTCTATTTTTTTATTAATACTTGCCCATAAATTCTATCTTTTGGGCTAGTAAGCTGCAGTACGTAAAGACAACATAATTAGAAAAGAGAAATAGAGCTACTCAGATTGTTTCTTTGCCTCTCCCAACAGGTTAGAACTCTTCTACCCAAATTCTCAAATGTCCGCCGCACCAGACCAGATGGCAATTGCTTCCTCAGAGGTTTTATATTTGCTTACCTAGAATACTGTATTCATCATAGAGATGAGCTAACTAGGTGAGTATCTTGTGTCATCGCATCATTACTTAATTTCTTTGTGCACTGTGTAGGTTGGTTCCATGCCTTACTTAACCCTTAGCCATAATTTCTAAATATGAAGTAATCATCCTGAAAATATGCAGAAACAACTGCTTAATACTAGTTATGAAATAGCACTGGATGTAGTAGTAGTAGTAAAAATAATAATAAAATTGTAGTCCTTTGTGACCCAGGGGTCAAGAACCCCCACTGTATTATGGCATTATTTGTAAGCTTACCTCTCTGATTAAGACTTGTACACTGTTGCATCTTGTTTACCTTTTTTATTAGGTTTCCAGTTTCACTACAGTACTGTTCATCTGATTGCAAATGACAAAAAATGCCACTGTATTTCTAGCATAAGGGTCATGGGGTGTGGAAGAAATCTCTCATTTTCCCATTGACAGCTCCATATCAGCATGTTCACCTTGCACAACCTTCTTACACCAAGAATCCCTTACAGATGCTGATGCTGATAGATTACAATATGATATCTGAACTGGATTTGCAAGGATTGAATGGCACTGCAGTATTTAAGTGTCACTCTTGAATTGCTTTCAGTTTCATTTTCATACGAAAATAAATCAGAAACAACAGTTTTTGGTGTGAGAAAATGGAGTGGGACCATTTTTGAAAAATTCCCATTAGTGGTTTCGAAAAAAAAATTGGTTTCCAAATATGGTTATACAGTAGGGCCCGCTTTTCGGCATTTCGCTTTACGGCGTTCCATTAATACGGTGATCTCAAATTATGACCAAAACTTTCTATACAACAAGCGATCTTTAAAATACGGCGCGGGGCCACCTGGTTTGTTTACATTCTCCATGAGCACATATCTCTGTTATGTAATAATAATCACTTTTGGGCACATTAAATGTCTAATTTTACATCAATATAGACATTTTCATTAATCCATCTATGATATTTTCTTCAAAATTTTATAAGAAACACGTTACATAGCAGGAGATTTAAATACCTTACCACCCTTTATATACAAAAAAGTGTCACAAGTGCTATCACCAATCATTGCAACACTCTTTAACAAATCCATTGAATCCTCCACCTTCCCTACAGTACTCAAAATAGCAAGGGTCACCCCGATCCACAAAGGAGGAGACCAAACAGAGTTGAATAACTATAGGCCAATATCCAACTTACACCCTCTCTCAAAAATCTTCGAAAAATTAATTCATAAACGAATCTACTCCTACCTTATCTCCCAAAACATACTCAACCCCTGCCAATTTGGATTCAGGCCCAATAAAAATACTAATGATGCTATTATACACATGCTAGAACATATATACACTGCAATAGAGAAAAAAGAAGTCCCACTGGGGATCTTCATTGACTTACGTAAAGCTTTTGATACAGTTGACCATGACTTGCTCCACGTAAAATTATCACACTATGGTATAAGAGGGCACTCCCTCAACTACCTCAAGTCATACCTCAGCAACAGAAGCCAATATGTGTACGCAAATGGGGCAAACTCTTCTGCACAACCAATTACAGTTGGTGTCCCACAGGGAAGTGTCCTTGGCCCTCTTCTCTTTCTCCTATACATAAATGACCTACCAAATGCTTCTCAATTACTCAAACCCACACTATTTGCTGATGACACAACATACGTCTTCTCCCACCCGAGCCCAGTCAAGCTAGCCAATACTGTAAATACCGAATTACAGAAAATATCTACCTGGATGAGTACTAACAAACTTACACTAAACATTGACAAAACCTACTTCATTCAGTTTGGTAACAGAGCTACAGATGTCCTCTTAACATAATGATAAACGGATCACCTATCACAAAGCTAACAGAGGGAAAATTCTTAGGAATCCACCTTGATAATAGACTCAAATTTCATACACATATACAACAAATTTCTAAGAAAATTTCCAAGACTGTAGGCATACTATCGAAGATACGGTACTATGCTCCACAGTCAGCCCTCCTGGCCCTATATCACTCTCTTATTTACCCCTATCTCACCTATGGAATTTGTGCATGGGGCTCAACAACAAGTAACCATCTCAGACCACTAATTACCCAACAAAAGGCTGCAGTTAGAATGATAACAAATTCTCACTACAGCAGCACACTCCACCAATATTCAATACACTCAACCTACTCACCATACAAAACATCCATACTTATTACTGCACCTATTACATACATAGAACACTCAACTCTGATATTAACCCTCCCCTCAAACATCTCCTTGCCAACCTCAACAGAACACATGACCATAACACAAGGCACAGATCACTCTTTGATATTCTCGTGTCCATCTCACGCTATGCAAAAACTCAATGCACATAAAAGGCCCTAAAATCTGGAATTCATTACCTGTTAATATAAAAGAAACACTACCTGTTTATAAATTCAAGTCTCTTCTCAAAGATCACTTACCCACCCAAAACCAAATAAATACTGAATAAAACTGAACCTTATAAATTGTATATCTTAAATGTTTCTCACAATTATATCACATAAATGTTAAACCTAAAACCCAATCTAACTTTATTATTTTTTAAATTCACTACCTAACAGAATACTCCATTCTACTGAATTTACAACAATGCATGCAACCATATGACCTGTCTTTGTAATACTCACTTGTGCTTTATAGTAATCAGTTTACATTAATGTTTTTCACTGATTTCATCATTGCTTAGTTAATCTTAAGTTAATTTTAAGCCAGCCCGTAATGCTATGCATAGTATAAGTGGCTTTGGCATGCTGCTCTTATCTGTATTTTTTTTTGTACCTCTGTAAGTGTGCTCAAATTATAAATAAATAAATAAATAAATAAATAAATATAAACATGTTGGTTTATGTGCTATGGAGGTGTGGTTGCCGGGTGAAGGGAAAACATTACGTAATACTAATAATAATCACTCTTGGGGACATTAAATGTCTTATTTTATGTTAATACAGTGGACCCCCACATACCGTTGGCATCACATAACGTTAAATCCGCATACTGATACATTTTATCGCTAAGATTTTGCCTCGCATACCGCTAAAAAACCCGCTCAACACTATTCGTCCGAGACGCGTCTAATGTGCGGCCTGAGCCAGCCTCACATGTTCTGCCGGTGGCATTGTTTACAAGCCAGCCTCCGCGGTAACATCCAAGCATACAATCGTAACATTTCGTATTATTACAGTGTTTTTGGTGATTTTATCTGCAAAATAAGTGACCATGGGCCCCAAGAAAGCTTCTAGTGCCAACCCTGTGGTAAAAAGGGTGAGAAATATTATCGAAATACTGTGGTACCATGGTCAACTGCTGATGCTGCTGCTGCTTTAGCACTGTCAGCTGCTGCTGCTGCTGCTGTAGCACTGTCAGCTGCTGCTGCTGCTGCTGTACCACCATCAGCTGCTGCTGCTGCACTGTCAGCTGCTGCTGCTGCTGTAGCACTGTCAGCTGCTGCTGCTGCTGCTGCTGCTGTAGCACCGTTGGTGTGGCTTATTGAGAATACCAAGAAACAATTAACCCCAGAGGGTTAGCCACCCAGGATAACCCAAAAAAGTCAGTGTCATCGAAGACTGTCTAACTTATTTCCGTTGGGGTCCTTAATCTTGTCTCCCAGGATGCAACCCACACCAGTTGACTAACACCCAGGTGAACAGGGAAAAATGCCTGGAACTAGTGCTCATATTGGTGAATTTAAAGCCAGCAAAGGTTGGTTTGAGAGATTTAAGAATCGTAGTGGCATACACAGTGTGATAAGGCCTGTTCTGGAAGAAAATGCCAAACAGGACCTACAGTACTCAGGAGGAAAAGGCACTCCCAGGACACAGTGTCTCATCAGTCATTGCTGCATCTTCAATAAAGGTAAGTGTCATTTATTCTTCATTTAGTAGAGTAGTACATGCACAATATATACTGTGCATGTACTACTCTGCTATTGTGCATGTATCCTTATCTTTGTGTGTAGGAAAATGTATATTTCATGTGGTAAAAATTTTGTTTTTCATACTTTTGGGTGTCTTGCACGGATTAATTTGATTTCCATTATTTCTTATGGGGAAAATTCATTTGCATAACGATAATTTCGCATAACAATGAGCTCTCATGAACGGATTAATATCGTTATGTGGGGGTCCACTGTGTAGACATTTTCATTAATCCATCTATTATATTTTCTTCAAAATTATATAAGAAACACGTTACATATAAACATTTTGTTTATATACTATGGAGGTGTGGTAGCCGGGTGGAGGGAAAACATTACATCACTCCCCTTAATATATAATGCTTTTGTTTACAATTCTCGGCTTGAATTATTCATTACTTCTCCCTTGGTTTATGATGGCATCTAAAGGTAGTTGTTAGAAACAATTAAACTCAATGAACCTGGTATGTTGATGGTAATAATATGGTTCTGGGCCACATTAAATAGTGTGTAGCTATGTAGGTAGGTGTAGGTATGTAGCCCAGGAAGACTACATACCTACATTATTATTATAACTGATAATTATACGTATGTGTACCTGCACCTAAGTAAACTTACACACTGTGCTGGCATGCAGGTACATATTAAAATCACTAAGAGTGTCTTATTAGTCTTGAAGATGCCATATTAATAATGACAATAACAATGGGATAGTAACCCCTTTTCCTGTAAAGATTACTAAAAAGAATAAGAAGAAGAAAATTGTCAAAGTGGGAAGTCTGAATGTGCATGGATGTTGTGCAAATGATAAGAAAGAGATGATTGTGGATGTTATGAATGAGAAGAAGCTGGATGTCCTGGCTTTAAGTGAAACGAAGCTGAAGGGGGTGGGAGAGTTTCAATGGAGAGGAATAAATGGGATTAGGTCAGGGGTTTCAAATCGAGTTAGAGCTAAAGAAGGAGTAGCAATAATGATGAAGGATAAGCTATGGCAGGAAAAGAGGGACTATAAATGTATTAATTCAAGGATTATGTGGAGTAAAATAAAGATTGGATGTGAAAAGTGGGTTATAGTAAGCGTGTATGCACCTGGAGAAGAAAGAAGTGTAGAGGAGAGAGAGAGATTTTGGGAAGTGTTGAGTGAATGCGTGGGGAGCTTTGAATCAAGTGTGAGAGTAATGGTGGTTGGGGATTTCAATGCTAAAGTGGGTAAAAATGTTATGGAGGGAGTAGTAGGTAAATTTGGAGTGCCAGGGGTAAATGTAAATGGGGAGCCTTTAATTGAGCTATGTGTAGAAAGAGATTTGGTAATAAGTAATACGTATTTTATGAAAAAGAGGATAAATAAATATACAAGGTATGATGTAGCACGTAATGAAAGTAGTTTGTTAGATTATGTATTGGTGGATAAAAGGTTGATGGATAGGCTCCAGGATGTACATGTTTATAGAGGGGCAACTGATATATCGGATCATTATTTAGTTGTAGCTACAGTTAGAGTAAGAGGTAGATGGGAAAAGAGGAAGGTGGCAACAACAAGTAAGAGGGAGGTGAAAGTGTATAAACTAAGGGAGGAGGAAGTTCAGGGGAGATATAAGTGACTGTTGGCAGAACGGTGGGCTAGTGCAAAGATGAGTAGTGGGGGAGTTGAAGAGGGTTGGAATAGTTTTAAAAATGCAGTATTAGAATGTGGGGCAGAAGTTTGTGGTTATAGGAGGGTGGGGGCAGGTGGAAAGAGGAGTGATTGGTGGAATGATGAAGTAAAGGGTGTGATAAAAGAGAAAAAGTTAGCTTATGAGAGGTTTTTACAAAGCAGAAGTGTTATAAGAAAAGCAGAGTATATGGAGAGTAAAAGAAAGGTGAAGAGAGTGGTGAGAGAGTGCAAAAGGAGAGCAGATGATAGAGTGGGAGAGGCACTGTCAAGAAATTTTAATGAAAATAAGAAAAAATTTTGGAGTGAGTTAAACAAATTAAGAAAGCCTAGGGAAAGTATGGATTTGTCAGTTAAAAACAGAGTAGGGGAGTTAGTAGATGGGGAGAGGGAGGTATTAGGTAGATGGCGAGAATATTTTGAGGAACTTTTAAATGTTGAGGAAGAAAGGGAGGCGGTAATTTCATGCACTTGTCAGGGAGGTATACCATCTTTTAGGAGTGAAGAAGAGCAGAATGTAAGTGTGGGGGAGGTACACGAGGCATTACGTAGAATGAAAGGGGGTAAAGCAGCTGGAACTGATGGGATCATGACAGAAATGTTAAAAGCAGGGGGGGGATATAGTGTTGGAGTGGTTGGTACTTTTGTTTAATAAATGTATGAAAGAGGGAAAGGTACGTACGGATTGGCGGAGAGCATGTATAGTCCTTTTATATAAAGGGAAAGGGGACAAAAGAGATTGTAAAAATTATAGAGGAATAAGTTTATTGAGTATACCAGGAAAAGTGTACGGTAGGGTTATAATTGAAAGAATTAGAGGTAAGACAGAATGTAGGATTGTGGATGAGCAAGGAGGTTTCAGAGTGGGTAGGGGATGTGTAGATCAAGTGTTTACATTGAAGCATATATGTGAACAGTATTTAGATAAGGGTAGGGAAGTTTTTATTGCATTTCTGGATTTAGAAAAGGCATATGATAGAGTGGATAGGGGAGCAATGTGGCAGATGTTGCAAGTATATGGAATAGGTAAGTTACTAAATGCTGTAAAGAGTTTTTATGAGGATAGTGAGGCTCAGGTTAGGGTGTGAGAGGGAGACTACTTCCCGGTAAAAGTAGGTCTTAGACAGGGATGTGTAATGTCACCATGGTTGTTTAATATATTTATAGATGGGGTTGTAAAAGAAGTAAATGCTAGGGTGTTCGGGAGAGGGGTGGGACTAAATTATGGGGAATCAAATTTAAAATGGGAATTAACACAGTTACTTTTTGCTGATGATACTGTGCTTATGGGAGATTCTAAAGAAAAATTGCAAAGGTTAGTGGATGAGTTTGGGAATGTGTGTAAAGGTAGAAAGTTGAAAGTGAACATAGAAAAGAGTAAGGTGATGAGGGTATCAAATTATTTAGATAAAGAAAAATTGGATATCAAATTGGGGAGGAGGAGTATGGAAGAAGTGAATGTTTTCAGATACTTGGGAGTTGATGTGTCGGCGGATGGATTTATGAAGGATGAGGTTAATCATAGAATTGATGAGGGAAAAAAGGTGAGTGGTGCATTGAGGTATATGTGGAGTCAAAAAACGTTATCTATGGAGGCAAAGAAGGGAATGTATGAAAGTATAGTAGTACCAACACTCTTATATGGGTGTGAAGCTTGGGTGGTAAATGCAGCAGCGAGGAGACGGTTGGAGGCAGTGGAGATGTCCTCTCTAAGGGCAATGTGTGGTGTAAATATTATGCAGAAAATTCGGAGTGTGGAAATTAGGAAAAGGTGTGGAGTTAATAAAAGTATTAGTCAGAGGGCAGAAGAGGGGTTGTTGAGGTGGTTTGGTCATTTAGAGAATGGATCAAAGTAGAATGACATGGAAAGCATATAAATCCATAGGGGAAGGAAGGCGAGGTAGGGGTCATCCTCGAAAGGGTTGGAGAGAGGGGGTAAAGGAGGTTTTGTGGGCAAGGGGCTTGGACTTCCAGCAAGCATGCATGAGCGTGTTAGATAGGAGTGAATGGAGATGAATGGTACTTGGGACCTGACAATCTGTTGGAGTGTGAGCAGGGTAATGTTTAGTGAAGGGATTCAGGGAAACCGGTTATTTTCATATAGTCGGACTTGAGTCCTGGAAATGGGAAGTACAATGCCTACACTTTAAAGGAGGAGTTTGGGATATTGGCAGTTTGGAGGGATATGTTGTGTATCTTTATACTTATATGCTTCTAAACTGTTGTATTCTGAGCACCTCTGCAAAAACAGTGATTATGTGTGAGTGTGGTGAAAGTGTTGAATGATGATGAAAGCATTTTCTTTTTGGGGATTTTCTTTCTTTTTTGGGTCACCCTGCCTCGGTGGGAGACAGCCGACTTGTTAAAAAAAAAAACAATAATCTCTAATAAAAAAAATATTAAATATTGTATAAAATGTTAATATATACATTTTGCTTAATCCATCTAAATACACCCCACAGTAGAATAAATTAACATAAATATGAGATGTGGTAGCCAGGCAACTTGTAGGACTTGTGGAAGCCAGGCAACTTGTAGTCCAACATCAGAGAAAATGTCACTATAATATTACTGGAGGTAACTAGAAAATTATTCCTTTCATATCCCTTCACTCAGGGTGTCATTTCTTCTAAAAATGGTATTACATGAGAATGGGAGTGTTTCTTTATTTATTCTATTGTATCAACGTGGAGACAGACAACTTGTACACTATGTAAAGTGACGAAAACCAGATGCGTTTGTCTTGTTTGATTACATTATGTGTGGGTGGGGTGGGGAGGGGAGGGGAGGGCTGCCCTTCCTGGCTACCCATACTTCCCAGCCTGACTTCATATAAATAAAAGTCACCCCCCACCCTACATTAAGACTAAAAATATTTTAAGGTAAGTAATGCATGTACTGTATATGCATTTTATTGCTCTAGGGAGCTTTAAGCATCGTAGTATAGTATGTGTGGGTGGGGTGGCCAGGAGGGCTACCACACCTGACTTCTTAGAGTAAATACTACTCACCTTTTGCCCTACATTAAGACTACAAATATTTTGAGGTAAATAATGAGTGTACTGTGTGTGTATTTTAGTTTTTAATGCCGAGTTCTATTGCTAACTTAATATATGTTAGTGTAAACTTGTTTTCTGGCATTTATATGCATTTATATATGGAAAAAAATGGAGTTCTGCTTTCCGGCAAAGTCTGCTTTCCAGCTGTAGCCTGGAACCTAACCTGCTGAATAAGTGGGGCCCTGCTGTACTTAGTTGTGTGCCGGATAATCTGATTTGAGGAAACTTATGTAAATCTGTCTTGTGATTTACTAACCAGATGTCTTTTGCGATGTCCTTATTAATGGACTATGAAGTCATGAATCTCTATGCAGATTTGCATGTGATTAAAGATATTGCATTAAACTATGCCAAAAGGGTAGTCTTTCAGTATAAAAGTTCCAGTCTGACCTCTGTATAAATAATTCTAATTGACTTCACATTGTTCTCTTGACAAAGAATGAATTCACACACTTTCAGTATTTTGTTGCTTTGATACTATATTTCAATTCTAGTATCACATCCCCATTGCAACTTTTCAGTGATAATTTTTGTAAATACTGTACTTAATAGATTCATTTTAGATAAAAGTTTTCAGTAGTTATGTTATCCCATTTTTGTTAATTGAGTGCAAGATCAGTTATAACATATTGTCCTTCAGGCTGTGAATGGAATTGGTGACATGTTGCAAAACGCATTTTTTTATATGCACTTTTCCAGAAATGCATCAGATGCAAGTTATGGGTCTACTGTATGAACTAGTCTTTGAAATTTGAAATGGTACATCAGAATTTCAGTGTTTTGCACATCTTGTATATTACCTTGTATATTTTAGGGTTTAAATATTTATTTCAGATTCAAGAAATACCTTGAAGGAAGCAAAGAAGAACTTTTTGAAATGGGATTTCCAAAATTTACTACAGAAGATTTTCATGACATGGTAAGTTTTGCAGTAAATGTAAGGAATCATTTTTAATATCTAATTGAAGCAGTATTTAAAGGACACTGCCATCTATTCTTTTCTTGAAGATGAATGGTATGCCACCCCCAGCACCTTAAAAAAAAGTTTATGAAATCATATGTGAGTGAGTAATGCATCATTGCATTACTCCATGAGAATATTTTACCAATTTTCATTGTTTTGTGTTTTCCTTTCAGATGGCAAATCCCTCCCCTCATCCATGATAATAGTTTCTTATGCCTTCTCAGTTTTTCAGTTTCCCATTTCAAGGAGCTCTTTTGAAAGCCTTTTTAAAATATAAATACAGTGGACCCCCGCCGTTCGGCAGCCGCAACTTTCGTGAAATTCAACTTTCTGCAAGTTTTTTCGGCAAAATTTAGCTTCATGGTTTGTGATTGGACTCGTGATTAGACAACCTTCTGGTACGTGTCTGCCCATCAGCGTGCACACAAAACGAGTCTCCTGCACTATTCACACTCGGTGTGCCATTGTTTACCAGCATGTGACCATCACCCCACGGGTTCATACAACACATTTCATAACAATTCATTGTTTTTTGTGTTTGCAACTGCTAAATAAGCCACCATGGGCCCAAAGAAAGTTCCTAGTGCCAGCCCTTTGGTAAAGAAGGTGAGAAACATGATAGAATTCAAGAAAAAACTCATAGCAAAGTACTAAAGTAGGGAGGAAGAGAGAGGGGAGAATGTGCCTTCTGCAGTGATTCAGTGATTCTACAATATGTATGATACTAAAGCAGCAGGTATCGATAAAGGCTATAGCTCCAACCAGCGATAAAGTGTAGAATTAACAGTGTAGCAAGTAAGTTAAGCAAGTAATCGATAGAAAAACAACATGAGAGTAACTCTCCAATGTTGTTTGATGTGTATAGGACTGCTGAACATACACCGTCCTGCTATCTTCCACCACCCTAAACCTCTGCCAACATCTCCTTCATAAAACTAACTAATTAAACTAACTTCTCCTCCAAGGTAAGTGTAAAAATAAAAGTGTAAGTATAAAAGTAAATATGTGTAAATATAAAAGGACACAAATGGAAATACGTCACTCTTGAATTTTTTGGGTTATCCTGGGTACTTTACACATATGCTGCTATGTATGATAATCTATGTATGTAACTGTATTTGTGTATACCTGAATAAACTTACTTATAAATTAAAATGTAAATATTTCTTATTTATAAATTACATACATAGTTGAAGTGTGATGGTGGTGGTGGCCAAAGCCTCCACCGCCACCAACACGGCTTCTCTCAGTGGCGGTCCTTAAACCCAACAACAACATTTACACCATTTACTCCTCTCATACATTATGACATTTTATTCATTCTAGAGTATATATCATGTTTCTATGTTATTAATATTGTTTATAATGTCATATTAGATGAATTGTGATAGATAAATAAGCCGTAGAGATGATTTATTTTTTATTATCACACCGGCCGATTCCCACCAAGGCAGGGTGGCCCGAAAAAGAAAAACTTTCACCATCATTCACTCCATCACTGTCTTGCCAGAAGGGTGCTTTACACTACAGTTTTTAAACTGCAACATTAACACCCCTCCTTCAGAGTGCAGGCACTGTACTTCCCATCTCCAGGACTCAAGTCCGGCCTGCCGGTTTCCCTGAATCCCTTCATAAATGTTACTTTGCTCACACTCCAACAGCACGTCAAGTATTAAAAACCATTTGTCTCCATTCACTCCTATCAAACACGCTCACGCATGCCTGCTGGAAGTCCAAGCCCCTCGCGCACAAAACCTCCTTTACCCCCTCCCTCCAACCCTTCCTAGGCCGACCCCTACCCCGCCTTCCTTCCACTACAAACTGATACACTCTTGAAGTCATTCTGTTTCGCTCCATTCTCTCTACATGTCCGAACCACCTCAACAACCCTTCCTCAGCCCTCTGGACAACAGTTTTGGTAATCCCGCACCTCCTCCTAACTTCCAAACTACGAATTCTCTGCATTATATTCACACCACACATTGCCCTCAGACATGACATCTCCACTGCCTCCAGCCTTCTCCTCGCTGCAACATTCATCACCCACGCTTCACACCCATATAAGAGCGTTGGTAAAACTATACTCTCATACATTCCCCTCTTTGCCTCCAAGGACAAAGTTCTTTGTCTCCACAGACTCCTAAGTGCACCACTCACTCTTTTTCCCTCATCAATTCTATGATTCACCTCATCTTTCATAGACCCATCCGCTGACACGTCCACTCCCAAATATCTGAATACGTTCACCTCCTCCATACTCTCTCCCTCCAATCTGATATTCAATCTTTCATCACCTAATCTTTTTGTTATCCTCATAACCTTACTCTTTCCTGTATTCACCTTTAATTTTCTTCTTTTGCACACCCTACCAAATTCATCCACCAATCTCTGCAACTTCTCTTCAGAATCTCCCAAGAGCACAGTGTCATCAGCAAAGAGCAGCTGTGACAACTCCCACTTTGTGTGTGATTCTTTATCTTTTAACTCCACGCCTCTTGCCAAGACCCTCGCGTCAAATTGAAGCATAATAAATTCGCTTTCCTCTTGCTTCCTACCTACCTCCTACACTAACAAGAATCAATAAAGGTTAAGTGTGATGTTAAATGTTCATGTATTCATTTTATTAGTGGTTTATATTTATTTGTCATTTTTTTCTGTATGTAAATCTATATTTAATCTTTAAAAAAATTATTTTTTGTTAATACTTTTGGCTGTCTGAAACGGATTAATTGGGTTTCCATTATTTCTTATGGGGAAAATAGATTCGCCAGTCGTGAATTTCGCCAGTTGGCAGACTCTCTGGAACGGATTAATCACGAAACTCGGGAGTCCATAATATACAGGCAGGCCACGCTAATACAGCAGGTTAGGTTCTGGGCTACTTATGTAAAGTGAAATAGCATTTTTTTTTTTACTTTCAAATGCATATAAAAACCTAATAACACGTTTACACTATCATATATTAAGTGAGCAATAGAGCTAGGCCAAAAAATGCATATACAGTACACGCATTACTTTTTTTTATTATTATTATTATTAACACCAGCCGTTTCCCACAAAGTCAGGGTGGTGGCGTGAAAAAGAAAAACTTCCATCATCATTTACTCCATCCCTGTCTTGCCAGAGGCATGCTTGCACTACAGTTATAAAACTACTACATTAACACCCCTCCTTCAGAGTGCTGGCACTGTATTTCCCACCTCCAGGAATCAAGTCTGGCCTGCCGTTTCCTTGAATCCTTTCATAAATGTTACCTTGCTTACATTCCAACAGCACGTCAAGTCCTAAAAACCATTTGTCTCCACTTGCTCCTATCTAACATGCTCATGCACGCTTGCTGGAAGTCCAAGCCCCTTGCACACAAAACCTTTACCCCCTCCCTCGAACCTTTCCTAGGCTGACCTCTACCCCGCCTTCCCTCCACTACAGATTTACACACTCTCGAAGTCATTCTATTTTGTTCTATCCTCTCTATATGTCCAGACCATCTCAATAACCCCTCGTCAGCCCTCTGGATGATAGTTTTGGTAATCCCATACCTCCTCCTAACCTCAAACCTGTGGATTCTCTGCATTGTATTTACACCACACATTGCACTCAGACATGGCATCTCCACTGCCTCCAGCCTTCTCCTTGTTACAGCATTCACCACACGTTACTTACCTTAACATATTTTCGTCCTTATAGTGAGTTATGAATATATTTATTAACAACTCGCTGAACAAATGAAGAATGGGTATAATTGAAAACAGCTGTAAAGGAAAGCACTGTAAAGCGGGGCCTGCCTGTATGTAATCTGCCCATCCTTATCATTCTTATGAGTTCGGTAGTTGTCATAATAGCTTAATAATTAAGATGTGAGGAAGTGTGAGGGAGGAAGAGTGAATGAATGAATATAAATTTAGTTAAGAAAGGTAAACTAATCATAATACAATATCTTGTTCATTAATTTTGGCAAAAAATGGTACAGGTCAGCCATCACTAATCCGGCATCATTGGGACCTGTAGGGTGCCGGATTAATGATTTTGCTGGATTACAGAGTGGTTAGGTTAGAATACACGGTGATATTTATGCATTGGCGATTTCACCCAATTTATGGCCTATTTTTGGCCCATCTCATTGTTCCAGTTTACCAAACTCATAGCTATTTCGCTAGTATTCCTTTTGTAGTTCTGTTTAAATTCAGCAGGGTTTATACAAGCGTTGCACTGAACCTTCGCTTCAGTGCAACTCTTGCAAGAACAGATTTTGCAGGGGTTCTTGCAAGATCTGTTTGTGTTTCTGGTTTGTTATACAAAATAGCTAACTGGTTTATTATGCATTAAAACCCATCGACTACACGATAGTCTTTAATAACCCCAGTGGAAATAAGTCACTTTGACTTTTTTTTGGGTTATTCTAGGTTCTCTACACATATAGTAGGGCCCACTTATAATGACAGGTTAGGTTCCAGGCTATCACTGGAAAGCAGACATTGCTGGAAAGCAGAACGCCATTTTTTCCATTTATAAATGCATATAAATGCCAGACAAGTTTACACTAACTTAAGTTAGTAATAGAATTAGATATTAAAAAACACAGTAAAAAGTAAAATACATACACATTCATTATTTACCTTAAAATATTTGTAGTCTTGATGTAGGACGAGAGGTTAGTAGTACTTATTTGTAGGAAGTGAGGTATAGGTATCCCTGGCTCCCTGTCTCATACTTAACATACAATATTTAAAGCAGCCCAGAGAAATAAAATACACATACAGTACACTTATTATTTACCTTAAAATATGTTTAGTCTTAAAGTAGGATGAGAGGCGAGTAGTATGTATTTGTAGGAAGTCAGTGTAGGTAGCCAGTAGGTAACCAGGGCTACATAGCTATATGATATTTAATGTGGCCCAGAGCTGTATTATTACCATTGACATACGTACCTTGTTCACTGAATTTAATTGTTTCTA